CCCTCCCGGGTCTTGCGGCGGGTCCGGGCCGTCGCTCCGCTCCGCCCCGGCCTGGCCTCGCCTTTCGCCGTTCACGGGTCGCAGAACCCCCGCCCGGCACCGGGGGTGCGAGCAGAGGCAGGAGGGGATGGATGGAGGCCGAGGTCAGCCACGACGCTGCACTTCGACGTCTGACGTCATTAAATTAAATTACGCCCAAGTAGTTCTGAAAAGCTGGATGCTTTTCCAGTGTCGCAGTTTACACGTTCACCTTCAAAACTCCTGTATGCTGCTATGCTAACACGGCTTGCACATTCATAGCATTAAACCTCCCCAGCTCCCAGTTTTTATAAGGAAAGCTGGTTTTAGCTTGTTTTTCTGCAGAAACATCCAGCCTCTTCCTCTCCACCCTTCCCCATCAACTTTAAATCTCTTTAGTCCTTTTCAGTCAAGCCGAGATTTCACTTTTTTTTTTTTTTTTTCCCCCTTTCAATTCTGCCAATTCCCAGCTAAACAGGTGAAGAGGTCCCCAAAACGCGTACCCCAAGATGGGAAAGGCTGAAAGGCAAGTCCCACGACGCTGCAGAAGCGCTCTTTGAAGTCCACCACCTGCTGACCAGCCCACGCAGTCAGGGAGCAGCTTCTGCCTTGCACCCGGTCCCCAAGCGCAGGGCACAGGACAGGCAACACCATGGCCGGGCGGGAGAACACCCAGCAGCGGCCGCTCCCGGGAGCCTGCAGCCCACGTTTCACTCGTTACACTGCTTCGTGGCACTTCTGGTTACTGACATCACCAGGGCATGTAATGATCTGCCTCTAGTTGCAAACATGAAGGAAGCCTTTTGCGGCAGAAGGCTGGAGGCAGCGCGCAGTACTGATTAAACCCTGTGCTTTTGCTCGCCGGGCTCTAACAGCCGTTCTCTGAGCGCGCTGGCTGCATCTCCATAAAGGCATGTACGCTTGAAAAAACAACACATGATAAATGCAGAAAACAAGATAAAGGCCGGCATGATCTCATTCGACACCGTAACTGTCCCGACGGTCAACATCAGAAAAACCTGGACTGGGGAAGCCGCCGAGATGACAGGTTTGTTCTGGTGGCTCAGACAAATGAGGGATGGGATTGGCTCTGCCCTACATTATTCAGTGTTAGGACCAGGGTTGGTTTGGTTTTTTAAATCAAGGTCTTAGTATGGATTGTACACCCTGCTTATTAGGCAGTGTATTTTACATGCCGGTTAAGGTAATATTTAGGAAAAAAAAAAAGGCAATTTGCAGTTGGACTATCACCACAACGTTATTCCACTGATTACAAAGTTCAAGACAGCAAACTACTAGTCTAATATTACTAATAAAAGAACTGCTTCTGTGTTTCTGTACCAGAGTTTGAGGAGCAAATCAACTACAATGCTTGCCTTTCCACATTGCCTCATCACACTCGTTAGATATGCTCTTCCTCACTTTACATTAACCCAGGGCAGGGCACATTAACATGCGAGGTTTGCAAAAGTACAGGTCTTTCAATAACAACAGAAGTCACGACAGCACAGGTTATGTGAAATGCGTGCAGCACAGAGCTGGGTTGGCTTGTACAGGTTTGGCACGTATAGATTGCACACCCCAAGAAGCAAAATTATTCCGGTGTTTCTTAAGCCATCAGGCATTCTGTATTCTCAAAGGTCCGAAGCCATGATGAGCCTAGTTCGGCTGATGCTAACCTGGTGCAAATACTGCATCTTTGCCGTAAGAAAATGGCCACATTAGCTTTCAAAATTGTTTGTAGCGGCCTCGGACAAATATGTTTACACAAACATGTGCACGCACACACACACGTATGAGTGTGTATTCTCTAAAAAGCATTATAAAAAGATTAAAGTGGCATCTAAAATTAACCTGAAGACCACGGTGTTGGGTGCAGGTACCTGGCAGTGTTCTAGGATCATCTGTGCCTGATAACACACCTGTGCAGAAAGCGTGTGTTCTGTTATGGTGATTTCCTCCAGCAGCAGTATCCTTAATGCAGCGAGAGCAACTCTAGCTGGACACCAGAAGTGTGACGTGCTCTGCAGAGACACCCATTCCGCCAAAATCAATTAACATGCAAGAAACCTGCCTCAGCGGGGCCAAAAGCTGTGTCAAGGGCAAGTACCCTGAACTGCGCACCCCCCAGCACGTCACCCTCCCAGCTGCCAACTGTGCTGTACTCAGCTGAGGCATCCACATATTTAGCAATGAGCCTGTCTTGTCTGCCTTCCAGGAACGCGTCCCCTCTCCCCTTGACCCACGTAACGCCCCTCTCTGGCAGGAGATCCCCGGCTCCGCTCCCCCCCCCTGCAGGGAGGGGAAAGCAGCAGGTGAGGAATGTGTATCCGCAGGGGCTGCTCTTCTCTTAACGCTGCAGGAACCGGCCAGTGTTAAAACGGACTAATACCATCCAGTCTTCCACTCCAATCGTATTCCCCTTCAGCATTTTTACAAAGTACTTTGCACCGTCAGCTAGAAACAGCTTACTACTTGACCGTGAAACCTAATCGTACCAAATACAAGCAAAACATTTTTTTTTTTTAAATCCCAAGTAAACAGTCTGTATTCTAACACACAGTAGGTCTGTACCAATTAAATACAGTATGGCAGTATATAAATTACAGTTCTTTACAGTAAATAGTAAAATACAAGAGTCCGCTTACTGTACACAACAATCAAAGAAAGAACAGCAGCTTTTCAGTAAGGTCCCAGGTATCTCAATCAAAACTTACTACGAAACAAAGAAGAACAGATACAGCAGGCCATTCACTTCACTCATTTTTTACCGTGTTACTTTACAAATATCCAGAACGCTTGTACAGGCATCTACAGTATCTACATGTGGAACAACCTTCTTAGGAATTTATGAGCACCAGACACAAATCCCTCCATCATTCCCATTATTAAAATAAACTTTACAGATTAAAATTACTTTAGCAGGTTCTATTTCATCTTGATAATAACCAGCAAGTAACAAGTGCAAAGTTTGCAGTCATGATCCATTTACTGCTTCTTTGTTTCCCCATTCCCCCCCCCACACACCCAAAAAACCAACACCCCCCACCCCCCCAAAACCCCCAAATGTCGTCCTCTCGCACCCCTGCAGTAATACCGGTTCTGCAGTCAAACTGCCCGGCTGGCTTATGTTACCAGATGAAATGCCAGACGTATAGCTTCAGGCATTGTTAGTCATTTCAATCCAATGCCAAGTCAGCACAGTGGCAGGCCTCTAGGAAGACAAAAAATACGAAGCAGTTGGGTATTTCAGTGTGCTTAAACACGGAGCATAAGGCTGCATGGTGCCCAGTGACTGAAGGAAACATGGCACCAAGTTATCAGTTAAAACATTTACAATAGAAAGATATAAACAGCAAATGTGTCGGCCTAAAACAAGTTCTTTGGTAATTAAGAACAGCAAACTGTAGCTTTTTTTTTTCCAAATACGGATTTACATCCTGGTTTTTCCACAATAAAATATTTTTTGTTAAAATATATCTCCCATGTTGTTGCGTAACAAACAGTCCAGTACCTCAGCAGACAAACTATAGATACACATTCATATATATATATATATATATATAATATATATATAATTTATAAAAAATTAGAGAATTAAGTCAAGGACTCTAGAGAATACACATTCCGTATGGACAGATTAAAATGTACAATAGCTTCAAAAATCCATAAAGTTCTCTACGCAGTGATGCGTGTAGTAAGTGCAAAAATACTGCAGTTTAGTTAATCCAAGATTTCCTGTTTTCCTGTTTCCTAGAAAAAGCAGAAGCCGCTGCATCTCCTGAATGGCAGAGGACTTCTCCTCCTGTTTTAGGAGAGGATGATGAGCCTTGAAGCACAGAACTTTTCCGTTTCTCTGAAGTGGAAGATGCCTGAGACCGTGAAGTGCTACTCCATCTCCTTGCGGAAGCTGGCGCTTTGCTGAGGCGCCCGGGACGAACAAAGACACCGTGGCGTGGTTTGCACTGGAAGTACTCTCTGCCTTTTACAGTTCCATCATGCTTCCCTTCAATGAAAATAAATGCACGGAATTAATTGTTGGTACTTTCATTAGCACATGCAATTCTAGTGTCGACGTGGAAGTATCTTTGGCTATCTGTCTGATAGCCAAGATTGTTAATGCTGACTGATGAAGCCAGATGCATACCCTACCCTAGGGAGAACAAAACCTGGACAGGAGGGCTTGAACTGTGATCAAAAGGATGATTTCCCACAATATTACTTTGTTAACTAACAGTTTAAAAAGTCAAAAGATTTGTTCATTTTACAAAATAAACTATCTTCGAAACC